AATAATCGTACAGGATCCTCATATGGCTGACACCGCTAAGACTGATGCTCAAATACATCTGTAGCCATCCATGTGAAACAGATGTAGAGCGGGTTAGGTAGTTTTGTAAATACCAGCAGGCCCAAAATCGGTGATGCTTCGTCTTTACTGTTCAGCAGAACTGAATGTTACAGTCTGAATTATAAATCCCTAAATAATTGAGAAAAGGAAGATCTGTTTCACAGAATGATACCCTAGGTGTCTATGTGATTTAGGTCAAACATGAAAAGTAGTTGCTGTCTTTAATGACAAGAAGCACCATAATTGGAGTCCCCAGTTCAGTGCCATCCAGAGTCATGGCCAAAGGACCTTTCAAAGATTGGCCCTGACTGTCAGCATGCATCAAGTTCAGGGCCTGGCTCATCAGACCCTCTGCACATGTGCTGATATGTGATTTAAAGTTGTCTGTGCATTTGTGAAGCTCTTTGCATGCACAGGTTGTGCTCGTAGCCCCTCACAGCCTTCAAACAGACCTGTCCCAGTGCCTGCTCCTTCCTGCCATGTTTTGGTTTAAAAGCTGCCCACAAGAGCAGAGACTTTCATTTTTCCTCTGTGGATAGGGTGTCACAAAAACCAGTGTTGGTACCTGGAGTTGTTAGATGAGTCTCTACGATATGATTTTCCCCTTTTGCTTTCAGACACGACAGAGGAACCTGCACCACAGTCCAACAACACAATAGGCTCCATCATTGGTGTGATCCTTACTGTTTTTGTGGTTGGAGCAATGTACTTCATCTGTCAGAGAGTGCTATGCCCACGCATGAAGGGCGATGGGGAAACCATGACCAACGATTATGTGGTGCATGGACCAGCGTCTGTGCCCCTTGGTTATGTGCCTCACCCAAGCTCTTTGTCCGGGTCTCTTCCTGGTGAGTAAACGGCATGTTCCATATCCTGCCCTTTGGCACCAAGTAATTGCAACCCAGCTTATTGTGCGTGTCCTCACAGTGGATATCTGTTTCAAAGACATAATTCTTGACATGAAGTTTCTGGAAGACCAGAATTTGAAGACTTGTAGCCATCCTTTCTAATAATCCTCAGCTGCTATTTTACTTGTAACCCATGCAGTCTCCATCTACTTATAGATGTATAGATACTTAGGTGAAACATAAGTTCATGTAGATACACATGCTGTAGGAGTTTTCTTCTTTTCCTACTAATGAATTCTCTTTTGGTCTGTTATAACAGCTACAGTGAAGTGTTATGACAGCAGAGAGTAAAGTAACACAAAAAGAGAGGATTTATTCACAGTATTTTAGACAGAATGTGATTACTGTCATCTGACTTACAGACAGGACTGGAATGCTCATGGAACTTCTTGTAAAGTCAGCAGCACTTGTAGTCTCAGCTTATTTCAATTGATAATGTGCAATATTGTACTTAATTTATATGCATTGCTTCTATGCATGGTGATTGTAAATGTACTCTAAACTGTGGCTTCAGATTCAGCAGGTTTTAATTAGAATATATAGGTTCTAACAGGCCATTATAGGGTTAAAATGATGCACCAAAATTTCTTGGCTTTCTGTAATAACCTGCTTTCATAAGACGATCTTTGAGAAGAATTTTTGCCATTATTTGGAGCAGTTGCATGCCTCTCTGTTTCTCACTTGAACACCCTGCCAGGAAGCTTTAGTCCAGTCACAGAAGCTTGCTTAAGGGTAGAAATGAAAGAACAAGCCAGTTCTTCTTTTGCACATGTTTCAGTTCCTTAATTGAGGTGGTTAGAGGCAGTTACCTGTTTTATTCTGAGGCATGGAAATAGTGCACAAATGCACTCAAGCCTTTTCCAGGCATTCAAGTGAAAGCAACCTGTCTTCTTGCAGCTTTAGTGCAGCCCAGTGCCAAGTCTGGGCCTCAGTAGCTGATATGTAAACCAACATGTTTATCCATTGATCATCTTCATTCCAGGTCTCCATCAAGGAGTGCTGTAAGGAGTAATTTGGGGAGTTCCATGTTTATACTTCTGTTACATGTTTATACTGCTTCCAAAATTTGAATATTGACACTTGTAAATCTTTCTTCTTCTTCAGGGATGTCTCGAGGTAAATCTGTGATCAGCTCCCTCAGCATTATGGGGGGAAGCAGTGGGCCACCCTATGACAGGGCTCATGTCACTGGAGCCTCTTCCAGTAGTTCTTCAAGCACCAAAGGCACTTACTTTCCTCCAGTAAGTCATTCTGTTAGTCACAGACCTTGAATAATTTTAAGTGAAGTGCTAGTGCCTTTCTGGGTATAATTAATTGACAGATTAATGTTTTGTGTCAGATTTCTAGCCTAATAAATCCATAAGAATATGGAGTAAATGATTTTGAATGGGAAGGGAGAGGGGACTGTGTTTTTTCAAAATAACATAGGAATTTTCTACAAATTGTTAAGTTTTAGAGTGCTCACTATCAGAAAAAGAGTTTGAATTTCTGGGGAAAGCAGAAAGTCCCCAGTCCAGAGACTGGCAGAGCAAACACCTTTCATTGGTCTCTGCCACGTGCCTGTGGAAGTAAAACTGAATGGTTCATTCTGTATAAATCTTTGAAGGAATTAATATTTTTGTCCTGTTATGAAGTAAACAACTTTCTTGTAAATCCATAGCACCCCCATAATCATGTATGCTAAGCTAGATGTTGTATGAAGTTGGTACCATTCCTAAAGGACTTCTCATCTCTTTAATTTTAGTATTGATTGTAGTTGTTTGAGATATTTTCATCTTAAATGTGCTAAGCCACTAGCCACTGACTGGTCAGTCAGAGCAGGCTGAACATTTTCAGATGTGAGAGTCAACCCATCATTAATGTTATTAAATATTATTAAATGGGTTTCATCAAAATACTTTTTGTGCTATAGGACTATGACCATACGGGGAGTAAATGCTTGCACTGGACAGCAAACTGCAGATCCTACAAACAGGATAATAGTTAGGGGCTGCAAGCTTGTCAGGCCAGACGTCTGCCAGTTTGCCTAGAGCAGTAGCGTCCCTAGTGACAATCTGGTATTGAACAGCCAGCTTCAGTTTTACTTTCCAGCACTGTCTGTGTCAGAATATCCTAATAACAGCAGTCAGCATTTTTGAGAAGAGCTTAGTAACAGTTTCAGTGGGAGTGGAACAACAGGGGCTTCCAGGGAGGCATCTGTCGAAGAATTGGGGAATAAACAGCAAAAACAAATCCTGTTTGGGAGAAACCAGACATGCAGTTCTCAAGGTTCCTAATCAATAGGACTAAAAGGAAAGTCTATATAACTTGTGTTCTTTTAATTCTCCTTAACTTTTTTTTTTATTTTTTTTTGAACTGTGACTCTCTCTTTCTTAGATTTTGAACCCACCACCATCACCAGCTACTGAACGTTCACATTATACCATGGAGTTCGGCTACTCTTCGAACAGCCCATCCACTCATAGATCCTACAGGTAATTATTGTTACCATAGCTTCCATCAGGACAAGAGCAATTACTATAGAAATGCAGAATATAGACTGTCCCTGCTCCATAAGAATTGCAGTCCAGTGCCCTAATTCTTCAAGGATTTATGCAAGTGTTTAAATTGGATCAACTGTATCATGTCGTTCACATGATAGATGTGGAAGTGCAGCACTGAGGGAAATCATGCAGTAAGGGGGTTAGTGATACACCTCTTGGGCACATTGCATTGAGGTACTAACAGCACAGACTTTTGTTGTCAAGTTATCTAAATGCCAAAGAGAATTGTTATTAGGATAACTTTACTAGAGAAAATTATTGAGCGCTGCATTATTTTAAATCTTTGTCTTAGATAACTTGTTATGTAATTATCAGGAACAACATACATAGTGTAAGGCGCTGGGAATGTAAAAGCTGGTATTTCAGAAGTAATGTTAATATTATGGCCTATATAAAGCACAGAAATTCTGATTTGATGTATGTAGGGTTAATCTCTAAAATAGGTTGCTCTGCTTATTTTCCCTGTGGTAAATATTTATGGACATGTAGGCTTTATCCCTGTGTTATCTGAATGTATCTTTCTCATCTTTTTTCTATGATTTAGAGCTTATTACCATTTTATTATTTATTTAACTGTTTACAAAAAAAAATAAAGGAAAAGAGCCCTACTACTGAGGGATGTAAAGTTCCCCCCGCCATATTACTAGTAGGTCTGGTCAATGTGAAGAGGTAGCTATATTTGTCTATTGAAAGAAATGCCTCCCTAACATAGAGCCTTTGGGGTTTTTGGATAATGAGGTCTCTGGGGCTGAAAAGACATCTCTTCTCCATTAACAGAAAATATGGTCTCTGTTGTGCAGAAGGTCAGACCAGATGTTTATAATGGTCCCTTCCAGCCATATGAAAAATCCTTAAAAATGGCTAGTAATTTTGTAATGAAATCAAGGCAGACTTTGGCACCAGCATGAATCATGATGATCACTGCTTAACTGTTTGGCTTTAAATAGTATTAATGGTTTTAAGGCTGTAGTGTGAGAATGAATGGTTTCAGACCCCCACCCAAAAATAAGCGCTATTTTTGCTGTTCTTGATCTGCAGCCTTTTGTAATGTCTGACTTGTTTATAGAAGAGCTACATCCCCCCCAGTCCCCAGCTGCTGGCAACAGCAGCTACCAAACCCCTTCCTTTCTAATTACATCATCCCGGGCTCACTTCAGAAACAGTTTCTGGTAGCAGCCATTGCAATTCCTATCCCAGTTGCATTCTTCTAGATGCTTTTCCTGCCTGCTGCGAATGTGTCCAGTGGTTTTTCTCCCTCTTGGTCTTTCTCGACATTTCTCTCGACTTGGAACGTTATATCCATAAACTGGGTGATGGAGGCAGAGCATCAACTCTGTACAAATGTGACACGGATGTTTTATTCCATTGTTCCATGCCCACCTCGCTCTCCTGGAGGCACCTTTTCCTACCTCAGCTAGGGCCACAGGGACTGTTTCTGTTGGTGATGAGTACAAGCGAGCCTTAGTTACTGTAGCTTGACAGGGGCTCTCATTCCCAGGCAGACTGTTGTGCTGGGGGGTGAGCTTTAACATTGTTGTTTGTCCAGGAAAGAGGAGCAGGATGCTCCGCTTCTGCCAGAGCGGGTTGACCTGCTGCACATTCCTGCCTTTGCTTGACTTGTTGGCGAGCACAGTGCCCGAAGCGCACGGTCTTTTCCTCCACTCACACGTCTCCCCTCAATGTCCCTGCTGCAGCTACAGGCCTTACAGCTACCGCCATTTTGCGCCCCCCACCACTCCCTGAAGCACAGACGTCTCGGAACGCGACTCA